CGCCCTTTCAGCCGTGGGGGCGTTATAATGTGACGGTCAATCCCACTATTTGTTGGTAAAAGAGTAGCCCAAGAGTTGGCAATGGGTGGTGATGACTAGCTGCCTTCCCTCTAGTCTTACACTGCTAAATTAGGGACGGCTGGTGCAGATAGCCCTCGTGTAGCTTTGCGCGAAATTCAAAACAAACAGAGGAGGATGAATTGCATCAGCGTAATCAAGAAGCCTTTGTTATTCCAGTAGATGGCCCTTCACACTGTTACAGAGGAGGATGAATTACTTTGTGTCATTGGAAACGTTTATGATGTAATTTGAATTAAGAAACAAACAAGCACGAGTACCAAACAACGTGATTAATATCTAACTTATCCTTATTTGTACAAGTTTCCTTTTATCCAAAGAAATCCATAACAAAATCTAGAGTTTTACTTAGAAAGTCTTCGAGGTTTGAAAGATTCCGATCATTATATCGTCGACCATTCTTTAGGTTAATGTTATTGTTCTCCGAGATCGTTGTTTGGTCGACCTTAGCTACACATTTTCCCTCCCGACACCACTGTAAGAAAAACAATAAGTAAATACTTTAATTTGCATATATTAGCTCGTTAAGTATTTCAAAATACATTAATAATGCAACCCAGTAATTGCGATAACCACGTGAAGTACCCCTAAACACTCATCACTCAGTAAATAGTTCTTTAATCTCAAACTGTCGGCCATAAAACACTCAATCATCAATGCTTAATAATACGGGTAACTTCATAGAATTGATTATAAAAGATCACAGCATAATATTAATAATACAGGTAATAATAAAATAGAAAACCTTCTAGCTTTGCCAACATTTCGAGTTTATTACATCCGGTTTAGTAGAATAACGAGTATTAATTTAACTAACTAACTTTGTTAGTACAATACTATCCTGTGAAAATTTCACAAACCTACCTTTCCATTGTCACACGAACTACCGTCTAATGCAGGATGAGATGCTCGAGCCCATTCTAACTCTCGACACCATAATTCTTTGCATACGTCCTACACAAAACAAAATATACCTTAATTTTTACGGTTTCTTCTAGTTTTCACATTCATTTATTTTAAGGTTTACAGGAATCGTTTAAATTGCAAGGATATTAAGAAAATTCATCTACTATTAATAGTGTGCGTGCTTTCTTATAGCAAAGCCACACCGAGCTATCTGCTGTGTCCACCGAGACGAATCGAAACGCTGATGTTAACGTTGTGTGAAAATATTTTTTGTTAATCAATATAAAGTGATAATTAGGGATATTAACTTTTATTAATAGAATTATAAATAATTTGAGATAACTGGCTTTTAATTCTTTGCGTGATTTTTCATGTTGACTTTTACTGAAACTATTTGTGTAAACTATGGTAAACTTTGATTTTTTGCAATTAAATGTTTGTTAAAAGCAGTTTTTGGCGGGTTTATCTGGTTTTGTCTTTAGATATAGAGTGCTTATCAAACGAATTGTAGTTTTGTAGCCAAATTTAAAAAAAAAGGAAAAAAATAGCAAATGTCTTGATTTATCCTGAATATTATTTTGTTTTTATATACATAAAACATGTATGTTTGTAACTCTTCTCCTGAATTAAAAATAGCAAATGTCTTGATTTATCCTGAATATTATTTTGTTTTTATATATACATAAAATATGTATGTCTGTAACTCTAGAAGTGTGTGAAAGTTTGGTCTAAAGGCATTTATTTATTTAGGTAATTAAACGAGAAGTGTGTGAAAGTTTGGTCTAAAAGCATTTATGTAGTCAAAACAATCGCCTGGTAATTAAACTAGAAGTGTGTGAAAGTTTGGTCTAAAGGCATTTATGTAGTCAAAACAATCGCCTGGTAATTAAACTAGAAGTGTGTGAAAGTTTGGTCTAAAGGCATTTATGTAGTCA